TAGATGCTTGTTGAATAACTGATTGACTAGGGCACTTTAAAGTTAATCAGATGCATGCCAAATATGGGTCATCTTGATCACTTAGACCACCAAGTACTAGTCCTTTTTTACATCACACACTGAGGAAGACTACAAGGAGGTTTTCAGGCCCAGGTCTTCATAAGCCCAAATTCAAACTCTGTCAACTACATCAGCGCCTATGACCTGGGTACTCTATCATACTGCCTCTTAAAAAATGAACTGGAAATGCAAATTAAAACAAGTCTGAGGTACTACCTCACATCTCTCAGTTTGGGTTAATATGACAGAAAAGGAAAATAATAAATGTTAGAGGGGATATGGGAAAATTGGGACACTAATGCCACTCTTGGTGGAGTTGTGAACTGATCCAACCATTCTAGAGAGCAATTTGGAAGATGCCCAAAGAGTTATAAAACTGTGCATACACTATGATCCAGCAATACCATTACTAGGTCTGCATCCCAGAGAGATCAGAAAAAGAGGAAAGGACCTATTTGTACAAAAATATTTACAGCACCTCTTTTTGTAGTGGCAAAGAATTGGAAATTAGGGGGATGCCAATCAATTGAGGAATGGCTGAACAAGTTGTGGTATAGAATTGTAATGGAATATTGCTATTCTATAAGAGATGATGAGCAGGTTGATTTCAGAAAAAACCTAGATGGACTTATATGAACTGATGCAAAGTGAAGTGAACAAAACCAGGAGAACATTGTATACACAGTAACAGCAATACTGTACAATGACGAACTGTGACTGGCTTGCTATTCTCAGCAATGTAGAGTTGCAAGACAGCTCTGAAGGATGTATGATGAAAAATGCTATCCACCTCCAGAGAAAAAAGTAATTAAAAAAAAAAGAATGTTAAAAATTGTCTTTACTTTTTTTGGGGGGGAAATAAAATCTTATTTATTTTTTTAAAAATGAACTGTACATAGCCTTTCAAATGACTCCTAGTAGATACCGCTTTCCATGAGGTCAGATTTACAGGCTGCCCTAGTCACTTTTCTTCTGCCCCCAGTGAAAGCAGGCATTGCTGGGCTGAAAAAGTCCTGAGATGGACAAGTACAATATCCCTCAAGAATGAGATGAGAATGTTCTGTCAGGGCTTTCTTTACATGGAATATTTCACGTTGTTTTAATTTTTATATTAGTTTTAAATCGAAAACATGTGATACCTTGCATGAAACACTCGACATTAGTCTCTAAATTGATAGTTAATTTACGAAATTATGATGTAGGGGCAGACACACCTGGTTCTCTGGGTACTTGCTGCACAGTGGGAAGCCAGGCTCCAATCACACTTTAATAAGACACAGAGAGTACAAAGAAAGAGGTACAGAGGCAGCTGGTTCTGGATGGGGCAGAGGATGGGGTGGTAAAGGTGGGCAGGTAACTTGGGGAAGAGCAGGGGGCGAGGTGGAGAGTAGATTGGTATGTCTCCAGACTATGAGTGGGATGAGGCAAACGTCTTCCCTGTCTGAAGAAGACAGAATGTCTCGTGCTCTTCCTCAACTATCGTTCCCTTTCACCTTGACGTCATGACAGATTGCAGGATTTTGCTACGTAGGATGCTACGGAGGAAAAGGTGCATGAAACAGAATTCAGTGGGTTAACATGCTGAGTTGATGAGAAGTAGGCATAGGTAAGCCCCAACTTTGGCCCAGAAATGCCTCCCTGGATAAACGTAAGCCATTCAGACATGAATTCTGCTACATTGGAAGGGGTCAGCTGTAGATGATATCCTACCTGGAGACAGCTGGCAAGGACTTTCTCCAACAGAAAAAAGGAAGGGAGAATATCTAAAGATAGCAGTACCTGCTACAAAACTTGCATGGTAAGGAGGTTGGGTGACAACCCTAGGAGGCTGAAACAGAGTTCCACACCCACGATACCTCCTTCTGCATCGTCTGTCAGGGAAAAGTTAGAGTGCAGGTAATTTGTTCTGTTCTAGAGCAGGGCTCTTAGGTGTGAGACTGAGCCCAGGAGCTGGGATTTGGCCATTTCAAATGCCTGTGGAATAGGAAAAATGATTTTCCTAGAAGTTAAGTCATACTATTTCAGATCTCTTACTCAACAAACTCTAGTAGATTCCAGTGAGAAACCATTCCTGATACCTCTCACCAACTGCTACTTTCTTCTCCCCAAATTACTTTGAATGTTTTACACACACACACACACACACACACACATCACATCACATGTGTAAATACATCCCTTTGGGGAAAATAATATTTACTTATACATATAGAAGTAAATGTATATTTATTTATATAAATATATCTGTGTGCCTATATACATATGTGCTTATATAGGTAAATGTGTACATATATTTATACAAGTATATAAGTACTCATATATGGATACATAACTATATAGGTATGCTATATAGAGATATAAATATACTGTGTGTATATAGTAATCTATATGCCTATGCAACCATATAGAGATAAATATATATGTATGTATATGTATGTGTGTATATACATATATACACACATATATATACACATATGTTTTCTCAGAGGTAAGGACTTCAGGGATAGAATCTATTTCCTTTTTTTTTTTTTTTAAGGTTCAGAGGACAGCAGTCACTTAATAACTACTTTCTAAGACTGGTCTTCATACCAATCCTAGCTTGCAGAAGATCTTTGCTGTCTGCTAAGTCATGTTCCCAGCAGATGGTTCTAATGCCATACTTGTCATGGGGTGAGCATGGGACATCTGGCAGCACAGAAATACAGGAAGGGACGTCTTCCTTTGTCTCCTTGCACACTGTCCCTTTCTGGGTTATAGAGTCAGAAGTCAGAAAAAGAGTCATAAGTAGTGAGCTTTGAACACGTGGTAAGTTTGGCAAATGCTGCCTTTGGGCATGAAGCTGACAGTCATTTGTAGGGTAAGGTGGGCAGGAAGCCCAGGACACCAACACCATTGCAAGGCTATTTCCTGGGGAGACAGCCTGGGGGGTTGGGAGGGCATAGCAGGGAGGAACTTATCCCAACCCACCATCTGTTAGCTTCCAATTTTAATTATTCGTGTTAACGAGGTGCTAAGCCCTGTTGTTTCTATGCTGATGAGGGGCTTAAGGCCATTCCAATTTGACAATCTCCAAATCTGGATCCCATTAACCCTCCTATGTCACAGCTTTACTCAGAGGCTGCTTAGTGGCCTCTCTATAACTATGTAGCCTGTATCTGGACGAAGGCTATTTTGTTTCTTTTAAATGATAAGAGGGATGTTTTTAAGACTTTGATTGATTGACATGCAGGAGTTTGGGCAAATTGTTGACCAACATATATTAGCTATCAGAGAACTGGCTGTGAAGTTACTAATTCTTAGAAGATTAGGCATTTTTAGACGTATCTGTACATAATCGAGGAGTGTTAGAAATGTTTGTTTTTTTCCCCAGTCAGACACCTATTTCTAGCAGTGTGACATAGTGGATAGAGCGCTGGATTTGTTCTCAGGTGTTCAAATTCCATCTTGGACATTTGTTGTGTCATCCTCAGAAAGTCAATCAATCTCTCAGAGTCTCAATTTCCTTTTCTGTAAAATGGGCATAATAACGAAGCTGTGTGTCATAGTAGACAACGAGGTAGCCTCGAGGTTAAACGAGGTTAAAGTAGGACCTTTGACACACACACAGGCTATGTGACCCATGGCAAGCCACTTAACCCTTCAGTGATCATGGCATCTGTCTAAGACTACAATTTACAAAGCAGTTGTCAACCTACATCGATAGCAGGGATTTTTCTCATTGGGAGTTCTAAATATCAATGAAATCACAGGTATATTTCAAGGAATACAAAACAATAGACTAGAAATAAGGGTAACTTCTATCTCACACAGTTGTAATGATCAAATAAAATACTGTGTGAAAAGTACTTTTTTTTTACAATCCTTAAAGTGCCCTGTTAATTTGAGCTGCCCTTGTTGGCCCCATCATCCTAATAATTATATCACTACAATCCTGCAGAGATCCCTAATTTCCTGCGGAAGTCATGATTTATCCTGACAACCTTTTTACACCTGGCATTATTAGTTATTCCTTATAAAAATCCTGCATGTCATCAAAATACACATCACCATCCAAATGAACCCTCTCAAAGACAATCGCATTTAACAAAATTTGACTTTCACCCAAACCATCAGTCCCATCAGCCTTGCCATACCTCTGATCAGTGATGTATAGACATACACTGTGTTCAAGCTTCAGAACTTTAAGCAACTGTGTCTTGTTAAATCATATATTTGTATTTCCTCCTTCATTTCTTCAATACAGGCTATAGGGATGTGTGTGTATGTATACACACATGCACATGGCAAGAAGGAATTTGAAAAAAAATATTTCTGAAAGACATTTATATGCTTTTACAAACAGAATCTAAATAAGGATATCATCCTTACTGTTCCCAAACCAATAATTTATTGAATAAATTTGTTTACGATTGAAAGACATAAAACAATACCAGATATACTTCTTGGTACCACAAAGCTTGTATGCACTCCACATATAAGCCTGGCTTATGTGGCTATTCTACTGGAAAAATTGTTTTATTTTCAATTCTCTCTTTTCCCCTTAATAAAGACGACAAAGAAACACAAGAAGATACACAAATAATTTCACTATTTAAAGTCTACTATCATTTTTGATATGAAATGATGAGATAAATTGCTATCTGATAAAAATCTTAAAAAGGAGTCTATTGAGATTAATCCTTCTCTTCAAACTCCCAGAATAAAACTGAGTAGGAGTTATTTTTAAACCAAGAGGATATATTACAAGCATACCAATGAATTAGATTATCCTCCCTTAACTACAAATGTATATACCCAATTAAGACTCACCCACAGACGCATAAACCACACACATAGAAGATAAGGATAGTAAGAGACTATTGGAATATTTTAATACATTCCTATCATTTTATGAATAAGGAAACTGGTCTAGAGAAGTAAGCTTGCCCAAGGTCACTTACCATAGTAAGTAAGACGTCCTCTAGCAACATTTTTCCCCCTTGAATTTTCAGCAATACATTCATATAAACCAGCATCCTCCTGCTGAAAATTTGGGATTTCCAGCATGCCATTTGATTTCCTCATTTTAATTTTACTGGAAAATGGCAATCCATCACTTCTTCTCCAGCTGATCTGAGGCACTGGGCTAAAAAGTAGATTATGGGATTTTTTGTATCTTCTAAAAGAATGATCAGAAGCATTTCACGTGAAACAAGGACATATGTTTTGAAAGATAGGAAAACTGGCTTTCCCCACTCCTCCACCCCATATACAACACTTCTGGTATCAGTGAAGAGAGGATATATATAAATTGTATTTTTATAAGTTCATAAGTTTATGAAAAAGTTTATGCATCTTAGAAACACTTTCTCATGTGTAGAAAATATGAAAGGAAACGAACCCCATGCTAAGCACTATAGTATATATGAGGAATAAAAATACAGTGTGGAGAGCCATTAAAGCTTGCAAAATTGGATAAATATATTAATTTGCTTCAAAATTCCTTATAAGATAAAACTAAATAATTTTCATGCAATATATACATACATATATATATATATTTGTTTTTGCTGTTTCATCACTGTCTTTTAGAACTATGGAAACACTTATTGATCAACAAATGAAAAACAAAGGTCAAAATTTCCAAAGTATCATCCTGACTATTCATTAAAATAGGATCTTCCTGACTAAATGACTGGTAAATTCCATTAAAAATACTTACTTTCCAAGGGCAAAGCATTCCAACTTCACTGTTGAACCCTTGGCTGCTGGAAGACTTTCTGGAAATTGAACTTCTATTTTGGGTTCATATTCACCCATCACACCTGCAGATCCACAGTACAAAGTTAGTAGTATGAAACCTCTTTCTCATATTATTTTGAACTCTTTGTGAGTCTGTGTGTGTGAGTGACATTTTATACTAGAGGTGAAGTTCCTAGAGAAGAGTCACTGTTTTTTATTTTCATTTTGTACTGATGATACCGAGGATAGTGCCTTCTATGCAGTATTGGTGCTTGAAAAAAAAATGTTTGTTGAATTGAATGACAGACAAATTGATAGAGGATAGAGATGGATAGTTGGATAGACAGATGGATAAAGATTAGATACAGATAGCTAGGTAACAGATAGATAGACAGATGGATGATAGATGACATAAATAGGCAAAGAGATTGATAGATGATAGATAAGATAGCTAGATATAGATATACATTTAGGAGAGATGATAGATGGATAGATAGATAAATGGATGATGGATGAAAGAGACTGACAGATGATAGATAAGATAGCTAGATGACAGATATACATTTAGGAGAGATGATAGGTAGATAGATAGATAGATAGATAGATAGATAGATAGATAGATAGATAG